CCTCCCTCCCTCCCTCCCTCCCTCCCTCCCTCTCTCTCTCTCTCTCTCTCTCTCTGTCTCTCTCTCCTTTTAGGTTCACTCTCATTCAATTTACTTTGCTCATTCTCTGCCCTAGCCAGTGGAGGCGAAGTACATGGGAAATGCTACACACCCATAAAGAAGAGTATTGAAGAATGATAAATGGTGGCGAAAGCTGAGGTTATCTTCAGTAGGTTTCAAGGGAACCAAAGTGATGCTTCCAATTCATTAGCAAAAAGAACAAATCTCTCTCATCACTAACTATGGAAACTATGGAAGAAAAGTGTGTTCTTCGGAACATTCTGGCAAACACATAAAAAATCAGGCCAGGAGGAAAAGGAGGGATTTTTCTGGATGCAATGAATAAGCATCAGTGTAAAACAGTCATAGCATCTATGACATAGCAATAGCTCATTGTCTTAACTATAAGAATATTGCAACACCCATAAATACACTGTTTAGAAAACTATTCACATGCAACTGCACATTTGTAAACCAGGAAGCACACAGATGCATCAAGGATGAGACTGTTGGGTACCACACCTGTTGCTGAGAGTATATAAACCCAGCTCTCCCCAGCAGGACATTCAAACTCAGAATCCTCCCAGGTACATCCAGCTGAACTCACATCTCCTCTCAACATGGCCTACAACTGCTGCTCTGGAAACTTCTCCTCCCGCTCCCTCGGGCACTGCCTGCCCTCCTCACGTTCCTCCTGTGGCTCTTCCTACCCCAGCAACCTGGTCTACACCACCACCAGCTGCTCTCCCAGCACCTGCCAGCTGGGATCCTCTCTGAACACCAGCTGTCAGGAGACCTGCATTGAGCCCATCAGCTGCCAGAGGTCCTGTGTGTTGTCCAGCCCCTGCCAGACGGCCTGCTACTACCCCAGGAGCTCCACACCTTGCAGTCCCTGCCAGGGGACATATGCTGGGTCTCTGGGCTTTGGATCCAGGAGCTGCCGTTCCCTGGGCTATGGATCTAGAAGCTGCTATTCAGTGGGTTGTGGAACCAGTGGCTTCAGATCTCTGAATTGTGGAGTCTCTGGCTTCCCTTCCCTGGGTTATGGGTCCAGATTCTGCTACCCAGCATACTTGGCTTCTACTACATTCCAACCTTCTTGTTATAGATCATTCTGTGGCACTGCCTTCTAGAAATTCAACTGTTAAGTCTCTGTAGCCTTACAATATCAAAATCAAATTCTCTCTGTCCTGTATGCAATGTATTATACTCATCTTCTACTATTACCTTTTTGTCTTTGTACTAACAATTCTTTCATCCTCAACTTCTGTCAGAATCTTAAATTAATGTGTCATCCCATATTATGCCTCAAATTTTGTGCTATTGATACTCTACTATTTGGTGTTCATTCAAGCCTATTTGAAAACTGAAATTTTAATCCAATAAATTTGTGCAGTCTGAAACCTCAATACATTGTTCATACTTTTATTACATTGCTTATATGTTTGCATTTATAAATATTTGGGACTCAATTAAAGATCAAAACCTTTACACAACTTGAGTTTGAGAGAAAATAATTTGGTTTGGGGCATGTCTCTTTTTTGTAGTAGTCAATAATTGGAAGATTGTAATTTGAAAGCAAATAAGGCTCATAAAAGTAAGCATTGCTTACGACTGAAGTATATGATGAAAAGTTATTCATCAAAACTATATTGCTATATAATTTATGGGGTTATGTATATTTTTAGAGAAAAACTATTTTGGGGAATATGACTTTTCAACCATGAGAAAAGTCAACTTGAAAGACTCTCAAGATAGACACTTTCTATTTAAAATGTATTTCTGCCACCCAGATTTTAGACACTATTTCTGCCCATCTTCTCAAACATTTGAAAGGAGAATGGCAATGATCTTAGGTGGTAATAACTGGGTCCAGGAATCAAGGCAACTTCCTTATGCTTCTCCAACTCAACTTCATCCAACCTAGAAACACTAATGAACAGTATTTACTCATTTGTTTTAGTTTGATTGTCAAAGTCAAAGATTCAGGTATAGTTCATTTGAAATAAGAGTCAGGTAAAGAAAGCTGACCCAAAGCAATAGTGTATACTCCATTAGTACATCAACTTGGTCTAGAAAATAGTCATGGTCTCATGGAACAGATCAGAGCTGACCAGGGGCAGGCACACACAGGCTACAATTTTAGGGCTGCAGAAGTCATGACCCAAAGGAATAGGTCAGGGCTGAGCCAGGGCAGTGATTCTATAGAAATACACTAGAAGTCATGGGCTGGGGGACAGGATTAAGGTACTCAGAGTTCA